CCCCCCCCCCCCCCCCCCCCGATTTTTCTAAGAGCAAATAAAAACATGTTTCACCTTTGACAAGATTTTATGGCAAATTAAAGGAGCTTCTGCAATTTGATTGCTTTTGCCAGTTATAGAAATTATTTTAATGCTTTGGCACAACAAATGTCAAATGGCTACTGGAAATAGTTAAATCCTGTCACCATGAAGTACCAGTCTGTACATATTTTAAATGTCTATTGCAAAAAGCATTTGCTGTATCTTATGTCTCTTTCCATAGGCAACCTTCACCTAAATACTTCTGTGACTCAGCTACTTGTGGGTATGTTATAGAAACATTCTTGTTGCTGAAATATAAAAATAAGGTATTTATCTGACTGTGCCGATATCCTAACCGCAGCAAAGCGTTCAGTGTTGTTCTATGTAAAGCTGTGAATTCCAGGATAGGATTTATTTGGACTTAGGTTAGACAGCTTCTGCAGCTGAGGACCAATTAATCGCCCGTTTGAAGATACACTTTATGGCTATGGAACACTGCACCATCGTGTAACCGGCCCTCACAAGCACGGGCACACAGAATTGTGTGTTTTCGCTGACACACAATAAAGCTTACTTAACAGGTACACCACCAAACACCAAGGAAACCTTACGATTATTAAGTGACATCATTTGAGAAAGTTTGAAAACATCACGTCAAGCATGATTACTTGTTACCAGAACAGGTGTTCTGTTATCCACCTGTGGCTCTACTTGGGAAGCCATCAATGGATTCTCATTTTTAAATTTGAAGCTCTTAGATTTCCACTATTCAAAGGAGATAATAAAACAGAATGCACCTATATTTTTGGAAGATTAAATGATGTAGCCTTAACAGATAAATGTTGTCCTGCATATTGTGTATTTTTCAAACAAGCGTTAGTGCCTAAAAAGTTTATTCCAGCTATTGTGATACTCAGGGCCTTGCTTACTGTATGTCTACAAATATAATTTTTCTGGCATTGCTGTGTTATGCTGTTTTACACTGTTCTTCGTTTTCACTGAACTGTTGTCTTGTTTACTGTCACGGTGTGTCAAAATTAAAGATAATGATTTTATTGTGCAGAGTACACCTGGCTTTCATTTTTCTAGCATCCAAGTCCATTTGCTATCTTTCCTTTGAAGGGGATCAGCAGAAGTCCCAAGCTGCTATTCCGATTTTACAAAAGCCATTTAAGCCCGGAATTTGAAATGGTCGCTCTAAGAACCCCAAAACTTAAATAACTTTCAACCCCCCATATATTCTTTGAAATAAACACGCACATTTGGAGCTGTGTGTCTACATGCTGTGGCCAACAGGTCTGCCAGCCAACTCCCTGCCCCTGGCTGCAGAAGCCATCTGCAGGCTGCACTTTGTCAAGCATCCAGCACAGCCCCCCCCCAGTTCCTACTGGAGCACAGACTGGGGCAGGACTGGTGTCAGAATCAAAAATACTTCAAGTGACATGTACATGTGAGTTTTCTCCTAAATCCTGAAGCCATTCCTAACATACTTCACAGCTGATTCTTTTGGCAAGGGACAAGGATAACAGAACAGGTACTTGTTGGTTCTGTGCCTGCACCCAGCTATCCTGACCTCAAACTGCGCAGGGGCCAAAATGCAGGAGCACAGTAAGGGCTGGAACTGAACTTCAGGGCACAGCCGAAGACTGTCGCTGTGCTGCAGAAAACTGCCCAACCACACAAACACCTCTGCAGGAACTGAGCCCCTTTTGGAAGTGCTGAGGTCTAAGACTAAGGCTTGGCTTGCCCAGGAACAGGGGAGCAGGCCGGGCACCGCCCCTTTAGCCCGTGTTGTTACAAGTCCTATTTCCTAAGTAAAGCAGCAGCAAATACCAGATCAAAGAAAGGAAACAGAAACCACAGTGAAAATTTAGTCAAGGTTTGTCTATACTCCTCAATTACACCAGATCAGCCAAACCAATGTGCTGATTTCAGCTGAAATCTCCAGTGAAACACCTCAAATGGAATCCCTGCACTCAACACAAGCGTTCAGAGGCACCTGCAGGGATGCAAAACTACTTTAAAGTTGTTGCCAGCTTATCAGGGGAACTTCCTCAATTAAATACCCTCTCAGGTTACTGGTTTGAAAACAGCTGATCTAATTCAATCTAGAATATGAACAAAGAAGTTTGCCTTCCAATGGTCTGCACACAAGCAGCACTGAAATCATTAAACTTTAACCAAAAACATACTTTAAGGCCAACAGACTGATACTAACTTAATCCTGGGTTTTTTATGTTTGTTACTAAAATAAGAACACACATTTTGAACTTTTCAGAGTGGTATCTTACGTAGTACCATTTGTCTGCTAGTACCTTACTGAGGAGACACAGACCTCTAAGCCATCATCGACTGGCTAACAGCTGATGTAATACCCCTGCTAGCCTGTCCTGCATCTGGGCATTACCTCCTGGTAAAAGAGAGAAGAGCTCTCAAGAGAAAAATAAACAAAAATAAAACTCAAACAAAAAACCCAAGGAGAACTAAATACACTTACAGATGACTTAAAGCTCTAAAGAACACTCTTAATCAGAGACAATGTTTCAGCCAATTTCAGCCATTCAGCCAGGCAATAACCTGGACAACACAAGCACGGCCATTCTCAACATCGTATTACTACTCAATTCAGGCAAATTAAGAAGCCCTCAGTTTAGGACTCATGTCAATTTTACAAGGGCTCCTGAGAGGATGAGAAAACTAATCAAACTGTAAGTTTTCCACCAGAGCTTTTTAAGTTATTGCAAGTTAACGGGTATTGTTGGAGCAAAGTGGAACAGCAGCTGCTGTAGTTGAAACCATGTTTTTTTCTTTGCCTTTTATTCAAAGGCAAAGTTAATTTCATAAGGAAGTGTTACCTTTCTAAGTTACTGCCAGTGTAGATAGAAATGTTATAACAGGGAGGGAGATGATGTATTTAGTGACACTGTCTGTTTAACGATAAAGAAACACAACAACTCACCCGGATGTAAGCATTCTGAATTTCTACCAGTTCTTCACCAAGTGGAACAACAATTTTTTCCACTTGTCGCTCATGAGAATAAGGCTGAATTTCTGGAGAATCTTCAGCACATAGCTCTATCTGGGCAATGAGTAAGTTGGAAATAACTTGCTGCACAGCCTGAGAAGCCACAAAAAGAAAAATGTGTTTGTTAACACTCCAACAGTGCAAATGAGTATCTCATGAAAGCAGCTATTGCTGTATTTTAGCAGGCCTTGAATAAAACTGCAAGGAAAAGGTACTGACTGCCCACAGATGAAAAGGAAAGACTATCCACCGAAAGATCTCAAGTAGTACCAAAGAGGCAGCATGGCAAGCTCATGAAAGCAGGCAGCGAGCAACTGCAGGAGGGCTGGAGGGACAGAACTCTCCTTTGGCTTCAGGTACACCACAAAACACCTGATGAGACATAACCTGAAGCTAGGAGCTTAAACTGAACCTGGCGGCCATCTGCCTTAGACTGAAAACCAAAGCCTTACTTAGATTTAAGGCAGTACAGCACACCAAACAGAATACAAAAGGCATTTCGCACTGGGAGTGTATTCTTTCCAGTTCAAGTAGGTTTGTATTCCCAAAAACTAAACAGTATTTTTTTCCTTTTAGAAATGTTGGGAAATAAATATTACAAAGTCTACAGCATGAAAAAGACAAACCATCAACAACTAATAGACTGGAAAGAGATTCGCTTTTTATGTGCAATTCTAACAGACTTCAGTACCCTTCACGGTGTTCAAAGTGTATCAAACAGTATTAAACACAGCTGCTACTGAAACGTTATCATTCCAACCATGCAAGTAGATTTGACTCACCTTCGTATCACTGCCTGGTGTGGCACTTAGGGCCAAGATCCGAAACTGATTTGTGTATTTGCTTAGTTCCCTTACAACCTGAGAACGGGAAAGTTTTCATTAATATCATGAAAGGAGATTATCTGCTAATACAAACTGTATTGATGAAAACATCCACTAAGAGGAAAGAGCTTGACAAAATGTTCTAAAAAGAGTATACCTAAAATCAAATGGGAGCCAGGAAGCGTTCAGTTTATAACCATTTTATCCAAAACCAATCTTGATTAAGTGTATTACCCCAGCCTTATTCAGCACAACAACCTTGGTAAATTCCAAAATGATTTTTCGTTTGATTTAATCAAAAGATTAACAGCACACTGACTCAAGTGAGCTGCCAAAAAGTTTGAAGAACCACTCTAAAAAGAGTTAATCGTTATGATTAGTCCCATGAAATCTGAACAGAGAACAGATGACAACCACTGTGCCAACCAGCATTCAGTCAAGTCTCACTTGGAAATGCTGCATTAACCATTGGGAAAATGGGTGAATATTCCTCAGACTAACCACGTTCCCATTCTACAACCCTCCTGAAGCACAAAACTGGGACCAGTACAACAGCTGGTGAACATTCAAGCAATAACCAAATGGCCTCCCTGCTTCAGTGTCCCCCGGAGCTGAACTCTGCCCATGCTCCCAGCGCCCACCACACCTTCTGACCAGCCACCCTGCGCCACACAGGGACAGGGAAAACAAGCAAATAACACAACACAGCAGAAAAGCTACAGAGAATAAGCAATTGGAGACTAAAGAGGAATTCAAATGGTGCTGATAGTTCTACTGAAAGTCACACAAAGGCACAGCTAAAACAGAGCAGAGCCTGCCAGCCTCACAGCCACAGGGACTGCGGAGGGCTCGTGGAAGTGATTCTTCTCGGCTGCAGGTGAGACAATTCTGAAGCCCATGAACATGAGTGGTGGCTCTATGCTACAGAGCAAGTCCTGTAACGGTAAAATATTTAAAGAAAATATATTTATACAGTATTTTGAAATAACGTACAAGCTTGAGTTCTTTGAAAATGAAGTTGCTATAATTTGAAAAATGGTAGAAGTGCAACACTAGCAAATCAAAATGTCCTGTTTTAACCTGGCAAGCTACTGTCTCTTTTCCAGCATGCCAAGTTGGACAAGCACTAAAACCCACCTACTCCCCTCTACAGAGGCCTAGGAAGCAAGTGGGCACAACCCTGTACACATTCAGTCAATTTTTCCAGTCTATAAAGCTGTAACTGTCTTTCAGGTCACATATGGCTATGAGAAAATTAAGCCAGGATAACACAACAAACTCTTCGCTCATCAAGACAAAACTCAACTTCAAAAAGGACTCTTGAACTCATTTTACTAAGATACGGAACTTTACAAAAACACCCCGCACTTCTTTCTGAAAAAATACCTCCCCTCATGTAAGAGCTGTTCCTACACAGCATAAAGACACCAGAGTACACCTGCAAACACACATTTGAAAGAAACAGCACAGTGACCCAGCCAAAACAATATTTTGAAACAAAAGTTACAATTTCATTCAGACATTAAAAAAAATTCCCACCTCACCTTACCAAGTTTTAATGCAGGTTTTGCTTACAAACAAAGTATCACTGCTGTAGGGAGATTGTCCTTTAGGTCCTTAGCTCTGTTTGAAGGAGATCAAACACTCCTCCGTTATTAAGTGGTGCTTTATGGAGATCCTGGAAGTGATTTTGGGGGAGATTTTTTGTAATGGTGAGACAAGAGCGGGGCGACTCCAGCATTACCTGACAGTAGGCGTGATTTCCAAGGGCTTTGTGGGCTTCATCAATAACCAAACATTTAATCTCTACAGCAGGACACGTCCCACGAGAAAGATCATTCACCATTATTTGAGGGGTCAGGAAAAAGACTCTCTTGGCAGTCCACAGTTCCCCCCGACCGAGAGCTTGGGTTCCCCCTGAAAAATAAAGAAACAACGTTAGTGAACTGTTCTGCTGGGAACACAGCACAGGGACAGCAGAAGGCTGACGGGGCTGGCTTTGAGAAATTTTAAAATAGCACACGCCTTAATACTAGTCCCATTCCCAGGGAAGAAAGGTGAATACAATGACAAGGAAGGGTTTTTTTTGCATTAAAATACTAAATCCAGGAGCACGGAAAACAAGGCTAGAAAGCTCAAGATGCGGCCTAGCCTCCCGCAGCTGTATAACCTGATCCACACCACCTCTGGCAAAGGTTTAAATGGGTTATGGACTCAGTCATTAAGAAAAAAAAAAAAAAAAGGTTATGGATTAAAGTTAAAAACGGGTTATGGATTAAAATTAAAAACGGGTTATGGATTAAAATTAAAACAGGTTATGGATTCAGTCATTATTAAGGATATGACCAGCAAGCAGTAAAGTGTAGTTATGGGTTTAAAAAAACTTTTTAAGAATGGAAAAAAAAGCAAGCCATTCTTCTTTGGCTTTTTTCATAAAGAGCATATATACAGTGCAGGCATTTACAGCTCGGGAGGGGGAACCCTAAGGCTCTGTGGACCCCTGCACCCCAGAAAACACCTTCGAGTTGGCAAAAACACCCTCAGGTTGGCGACCTGGGGTTTTAACTCCCGCAAGGGCTAACGTTAGCCCCTCAAAAGCTTCTCAGACTTAAAAAAGGGTGGTTTGTTGTTGTTGTTTTTTTTTTCCTGCCACTGCGGCTTTGCAGGTTGTTTGCCCTCAAGCTCAGCAGCCTGGGTGTTTGTGGCTCCCCCGAGCAGACCCCCCACCAGTCCCTACCTGTCATCTCGGCCATGTGCCGGGCCGGGATGCCCATAACGCGGGCGCACGCCTCCATCTGCTGAGCCACCAGCGGTTTGGTAGGGGCGAGGAAAAGCACTTTGCCAGAGGGAAACCAGCGGTAAAAGTTATACATGACGACGGCTGCCACAAAAGTCTTCCCCAGCCCGGTGGGCAGACAGACCAAAGTGTTCCCCACCAAGGCGGCGTGGGCCATGCGCATCTGGTAACCGCGCACCGGGTAGTTCGTGGGGTAGATCCAAATGGAGCCCGCTACCTCACAAAACCCTTCCACCGGGCTCGGGTCCGCCGCCGCCGCGGCCGCCGCCAACAGCCGGTCATCGTTTGCCTCCTCTTCTTCCTCATCGGCCGCCTTCCCGCCCGCTGCCCACCAGGATCGAGGTAAAGTTCGCTGCCGCCCGCCGCTCATCCTCCTCCCTCAGGCGGCCGCCGCCATTTTCTCTCGCCGCTTGAAAACACCGCGGGAGCCGCCGCGGGGACGGAGAGGGTGGGACGGGGAGGCGGCGAATGCC